AACGATTCATCGTTTAGCCGTTTGTAGTGAACGATTGTGTTAAAAGATCGCAAATCATTACTGTGCAAAAAATCCCCAAATTAGCATTTTGGAAAACACCATGGAACTTTTTTTCACAGGATTTATTTCAGTATTTGGTGATCTGTGTCATTTGATGTTTATTTTTTTTTTGCGTAGCCTTAAGAGTGTGCTTGAGAGTGACTGATAAATCACATATGGATACGCGTTTGTGTGTGTGTGTGCGTGGGTTATGTGCCTATCGAAAAATAGAATTTCGTATCATTTTAATTTATTCCCTTTTGATGTGTTTGTTCAAAAATTAAGTATTCTCTCATGTATAATGTATTGTGTAATTTTGTTGTTGTTGATAGTGTCATTGAAATTACTCAATGAAAACTCAAAGATGAAAAATGTTTCGTTTCAGTTCCAATTATGGCTGTTTGTTAATTACTTATTTATTGAGTTGCTCCTTTCATGCCTGTGCGATATCCAAGACAGATACGATGAACGCGTAAATGAATAACAATCTGGTAGATTTTTAAATTTTAGCTGAAACTAATATGAGATGATAAAATTTTATTTGATTTATCTATCGATGTCTCATTTTTGTCTTTTCCATTTTACATATTTTGTAAGATGGTTGCATCATATTAAAGTGTTAATTTCAAATCTCAATGACTGTTATATATTGAAATTCATAATCGTTGTTTATGTTTGTTCAAATCGATTATTCGATTAGAAGATTGATCGCGTGATTGGAAGTGTCAGTGTGATAAACGTCGATCAATCGATCGATAATGCTTTCGAATTGAGATCAAATGTGGCGATGAACTGAACAATGGAAACTTTTGACGGATTCGAATATACAAAGAAAGATCTTATTGGACACGGTGCTTTCGCTATCGTTTACAAGGGACGATATGTTGATGTGAGTTCTTTGAATTATAATTTGCTGTGTGCATTACGTGAGCTAGGTAAACAATATCACGCATCAATATCACATTCTGCATCCTGTGTTCAAGGCGAATTGGAAAGGATCTGCCCTATTAAAGATTATTCCAAGCATGCAATTAGTAATCACAGAAGTATTGCTAGTGAGAGGGAATCAAAGAGATACGGTAGAGGAAACAACTTCAGATGATTTCATGCGTGGTAAATGAGTTACGGGCTGTGCTCCAAATGAGTTTTTTTTTTGTTGATAATGAGTAGCTAAATTTCACTGCGCTAGAATTTGCAGTTATAGAGTCTAATGATAAGCTTTGATGCACGACGCATACGTCTAATGATGGGTTCTCAGAGAGCCATGTATAGATTGGAATGTCAGATGGTGTTGTGCATATTAAGGATCACTTTTCCTCGGGGAATTCATTCCCTTCTGAGTGATGAATCTTTGATATTTGCATTCGTCGTATCCATTCCTTTGATAAATAAACGCTGAGTGTATGTCAACTAAACGCTGAATCACTGCAAGAGCAAATTGAAGCACTGAAACAGTATTCTATACTGTTGTCTCCATCGCTAATATTTTTGCGGACCATGGAAAACCATGACAAAGATAACTATCAGTTCACTTTCTTAAATCATCATGTTATTTTGGTACATTTTCATCAAATTTTGAATTCAATCTGACCAAAATTTCGTTCATATCATTGCCAGCTTTTGACATGCACTAAACACTGATTTTTGAGTTCTAGTTTCAGAATGCTTTCTGCAATTGTTTTGTACTGGATGAATGCATGAGGCATAAGCATTGGGCTGTAATTTAGACACGAGTCTTCGTTCATCTTATTTGTTGTATTCCTGATTGGTTCGTTCAAATGATAGGGCTGATTGAAAGTTTGAGGATTTCATTGCAGTTGCAGTACGTTTAAGTGCGTATGTGCTGCTGCTGCTGCTTGAAAGGAGGATTCATTTTTACTGAATGGAAAGGGGTGATTGTGTGGTGCGGATTTATTTATTGACTACGTCATTGTGTGGGTTGGGCACAGGGCTAGGCAATGGACGCGTTACAATTTTTTTGAGTATTAACCACCACATCTAGGCATCACACACCAACTCTCGACAACTATGCATGTTCCTCACCCAATGATTTTCATCACGAATTCACTCAGAGGAACAATTATTTCAATGAATGCATTTCCTCACATCGGCCATCATTCAGCCAATTACTATCATCAAAGAACAATGAAGTCATTTCTTGGGAAAAAAATTGGCCGAATTTTCCAATCGCCACGTTTTCTGATCGCTTATCCTTATGACTGTCGTTTTGGTTGTTGTCAGTCAGTAAAACGTCATTGTTGAGTTCTTTGTTGAATTATGAACACTTTCATCATGAGCAGTTGTCTGGTGAATCTCGGTTACCTGAAATTGAATATGAATCATTCAGCTTTTTCATCTCGTTCAAAGAAGATGATGTATTTTGTTTCCAATTCTTTTTTAATTTGAAATCGGAACTCACTCGGAGAATTGAAGGAAGAGTATTGAGGAGATTTGATATTATCTGCATAAAGGCCGATTCTGTAAATAATTTTTTGGAATGTGTTGTCGGCGCACAATAGCATTTGTTCTTTTTATTGTTTCAGTTGGTATGACTGAAACAAGCAGTGTGATTGCTACTGAAAGATTATAGCTGAACAATGTTCATGTCATAAATGCTTCTTATGGCATTCAATCGATTATCTGCTTTAGATTCGTGATTGCATAAATAATTTGTAATGTGATTGATTGTCTTGGTACGATTGGTTTCTTATAAAATTTTAGTGTGATAATGACGTTAAGAACATAAACACTTCACATTCAATAAATTGAACATCACTGAATTCACAAACGAGAATTTATAAATTCAATTTATTCATCTTTCAGAAGAAAGATTTACCGGTGGCAATTAAGAGTATCGCTAAAAAGAATTTATCGAAGTCAAAGAATCTTCTCACGAAAGAAATCAAAATCCTGAAGGTACGAATATATGTGAATGCCGGTTTTCTTTTCTGAAATTTGCACAATTGTTATCGGTTGCTCTCAGCTATATAGAGGTCGGCTGTTTAGCATGAATTATTCAACGCAGCAATATTTGAGTACGTAACAGTACTGCCTACAATATCCGTGTGGTATCATGAGCAGATGGTTTTCTGCTAGAAACAATTGTGTTGTTGTTTGAAAGTATTGTTTGTAGGAGTTGTCGAGTTTACAACATGAAAATTTGGTTGGATTACTGAAGTGTGTTGAGACACCGACGCATGTGTTTCTTGTTATGGAATATTGCAATGGTGGTGATCTGGGCGATTATCTTCAGTCAAAGATCACCCTACCTGAATTGACAATTCAACACTTTTTGGTGCATATCGCTCGGGCGATTGAGGCTATCAATAAGAAGGGTATTGTGCATAGGTTCGTCGGCTTTTCTAATTGTTCAGCTATTATGCAATGCTTTTGATGGGCAGCGGGGATTACTGTATGAAGAGTGTACGTTGTGATGATAGATTAACAGCCGTATTTTAAGGGATTTAAAGCCACAAAATTTATTGTTATGTAATCCAACTCGACGACCGAATCCACCGGCAACGGATTTAATTGTTAAATTGGCGGATTTTGGTTTTGCACGTTTTCTCGACGACGGTACGATGGCTGCCACCTTGTGCGGCTCACCGATGTACATGGCACCGGAGGTATGTGATAGCTTTGGTTATGGATCGANTTACTAGCACTTATTGTGCACGTGACGAACACTTCACCTTTTGTGTTACTTTCATGTGGTCATTTATCAAGGTGTTATTTTTGGTAGTGCTCAGCACTAGTTGAAAGCATTCATTTGACACTTTGTTTGATTAGGAATAATCGCTTGACATTGATACTCACGATGTGTTGTCAGTACAGAAAAAAATCGAACTATAAATCAAAAAATATGGCAATGGAAATTATTTTTGATCATTAAAAAAGATGAATTTTTCATTTAGTATATTAGTATCTGAGATAAATATGACCTCACTGAATCAATCACTCGTCCCGAAATTATCGATTGATTAAGAACAGAAAACGATTGATCGCTATAAAGAAGTGACTGAAGAAGGATTTGAAATGAAATTGCAGGTGATAATGTCGTTGCATTATTGTGCGAAAGCAGATCTCTGGTCGATAGGTACAATAATATTTCAATGCTTAACCGGCAAAGCGCCATTTCAAGCGCAAACACCGCAAGCTCTAAAGCAGTTTTACGAACGTAATAAGGAATTACGGCCTAGCATTCCTTCTTACTGTAGCCCTCTTCTGAAAGATCTTCTGCTTGGACTACTCAAACGAAACGCTAAAGATCGCATTGAATTCGGTTTGTCTCCTCAAAACTTTCACTAGTTAATGTTTTCGTTGCAAATCAAACGAATTTTCGTTGGCATATATGGACAAGAACGATATCGAAAATGATGTCGTTATTGTTCTCGAAGCGTGTTATAATATATTTTTAGTTGACCAGTTCAGCCAGTTGATCCTGAATCATATTTGTGCAATATTCCTCGTGACCATACGACCTTGCATTTTTTCTTGCTATTTTCGTGGAGATCCTGTCATATGCATTTTTAATTTTCAGATGCATTTTTCTCGCACCCATTCTTACATTCGGCTCCGATGACATCCCCTTCGAAAAGAATTCTCGAGTCAGCGGCAAATGCGTCAGCACACTCAGCTGCGGCATCCTCAAAACGTCACGCCTTGCTGAATAATCCTTCGTCACCCGCCCTTTCGAATCATCGCAAATCCGCTCACCCTTATTCATCTTCTCCTCACGCACATCACACCGCTCATCGGTTCATCGCTACTTCATTATCACAGAGAAAAGAACTTGAAAACTGGAGAACTGAAAATGCATTTTTTGATTGTTTCGCTGAAGTACTGATGTGGTACATTCGAATTGTTTGATTTCAGTTTGTTTTTGGGAAGAAAGAAAACAACTTACTGCAGTTCAATATGCGCGTCGTTCGCCTTGTTCTTTGCAATATATCATACGAATTTGCTGCAAAAAATCTCATATTCTGCTGTTCAAAGTAATTTTCTTGAAATTCAGGCAAAATGAAGCAGTT